AATCTCTCTTCTAACAAATACTCTCTCTCTCTCTCTCTCTCTCAAAGTTTAATTTCTACTTTTCTTTGTATCCACTAGTTAATCTCTCTTCTAACAACTTACTCTCTCTCTCTCTCTCTCTCTCTCTATCAGTTTTCAATTAATAACAGTACACTCTCTTCAAAATGTCTCTCTTAAACTCAAATGTAAGACCTCTCTCTCTCTGGTTTTGTCATGAAATCCAACTCTCTCTCTTTGTACAGGACTGCAAGCGTTTGAGATCATGGCAATAGCAGCAGTGGGGAACAACCTAATAACCTACGTGTTCAATGAGATGCACTTTTCTCTCTCTAAATCAGCAAACATTGTGACCAACTTTGTGGGCACCATCTTTCTCCTCTCCATTCTCGGTGGTTTCCTCGCCGACTCCTACTTGGGAAGCTTCTGGACCATCCTCATCTTTGGATTCGTGGAGCTCTCGGTATGATGCCTTCTGCTCCCTCTCTCTCTCTCTCTCTCTACACTTTCTAGAGAGAGAAAACGTGCAACTACCCTAACTTTCTCATTTCTTTTTGCACATATTAAAAATGCATAAAAGTAAGATCATATGCGACTTTTTAGAGAGAGAAAATGTGCCATGCTCTTTTTCATTCCCACTCATTACTTATGAGTTGCTTGTTGTGGTTTTCATTCTCATTAACGATTTTAAAATTCACTGATCATTTAAAAAAATGGAGTCAGACTTATCTTCTCCAATTGAATTTTTTTTTAAAAATAATAATAATAAAAAAAAGCTTTAATACAAGGTGTCCATTGTGAATCGCATCCTATAAAATAATATCTGTTTTTTATTTCATTTTTAAAAGTTGAAATGTTTGTAAATTTGTTCGATCTACATTATTTTTAAAACTATAAATTTTGTAAATAAAAATAAAAACAAACTTTTGATCGGTCACTAAGAGCTTTCAACTCCAACGTTGTATCATTTGCCTGGATTTAAAAATACGCCTTACTTTGATTGTCTTGAATAAACCTCACTAAATTTGCTTTCTACAATGATAACATACGCACCTGTGAATCATTTTTTTATTCTTTTTTTTCATGTAATATGATCATTAAAGAGAGGTCTATTACAGCAAGTCATTTCAAGAAGGATGAGTCATTTCCATGGAGGAAAGATGGGTCTAAGAAAAAGAGGCCACTCATTTTCCATTTTGAAGATAAAAATTAAATCCAAAACCAAAAGAACATACTTTGATAATTAGGGTTTGTTTGCTGACGCGTCGCGTACATGCACCAGGCAAAAGCATAAAGATATGCTTCTAGCAAGAGAGAGACTCCTTTAGAGAGAGATCAGGTCTAGTTAGGACTGCCAATGAGCCAGGTGGTCCAGTTGGGTTACAACGGTTTGCAGTCAGGCCGGGTCGGGTCCCCACAAGGGGTTGCTGCATGGCTCTAGCCCAACTTTTATATATATATATATATATATTTTTTTTTATTTATTTTTTTTTATTTTTTTCTTTAATTAGCCGATCGTGTTGGCTAGGCAGGGTTGGCAATGAGTTGTGCCATCTGGTTGGCCTGGCCATAAAAAAAAGAAAAGAAGGTCTTAGCCACAAACCGGAGCTCATGGGCCAGGCTAGGGTTAGAGCCAGCATAGTTTGGCTATTTTTTTCTTATTTTCTTTTTAACTTTTTGGTCATTGTTTTTAGCTCGACCAGGTCCTGGCCCATTGCCACCCTTTATGGCTATGGGTCAGTTTTGCCCAATCTAAAAAGCTAGTGGTGGCCGTGCCGGAAGTATTGGCTAGGTAGGACTAACAATGAGTTGGCTGACCTGGTTGGCCCAAGCATAAAAAAGTAAGGCCTTAGCCACAAACTGGAACCCAAGGGCCAGACTAGGGATAGTGTTAGCATGGTTTGGCAGCTATGTTATTTATTATTTTTTTTAAAAAAAATTTCAATGTTTTTAGCCCGACCGCCCCTGGCCCATTGCCACCCTTTTTATCGCTGCGGGTCCCTTTTGCCCAATATGTACCGGGGTCATGGTGAACATATGGGACCCTCGGCCGGGCCCGGCCCATTGGCAGCCCTCTCGTATCTTATGTGGATAAAAAAGAGATGCCACTCACATATATTTCGTGTACTTGTTAGCGAGAAAGAGATAGAACCGGTCGTCCACTAATTAATGCATTAATAACTTTCCCAAACCCCCACTTTCTCTCACTCCACCCTGCTAATCTTTGACTTAACCCCTCCAAATCCTCATAAACTATGTTTTCTTTCATAAGCTATCTACTTTTTTTCCCCTTAAAAACAATAAAATACTAGGCCTTTCATTTCCTAGTAGAAGGAGGTTGTAAGTGTTTCATGAACTGAAATTCAAAATTCAAAGTTAAAAAAAAAAATTCTCGAACTTTACAACTCACTCTAAACTATTTAATTTCTCTTTTAATAGCTAGTAGCAATTGTGACCTCTTATAACAAAGATAAATAGTCTTATAGTATACAATCTCTTTTCTTCTTGTGCTCAACCTGTTTTTTTTCTTTTTCCGTGTGGTTTGTTTAAGGCTAAGGCATTAAACAAACCAAACAAGTGCGCACCTTCAAATGGTATCGAAAGGTGTTGTTTAAGTACTAAAAATCTTTGGGATGATCTAAAAATTTATTTTTATTTTTTATTATAAAATTTAAAGCTTTAAAAATAGTGTAGACCGAGCCGAACATTTAAAAATTGATGGTACATTACAAGATGTACTATTTTAAATACCTGAAATTTATTTCTTCTCGTAGCCATACATTTTGAGGTCGAGATGATTGTTTGAGAATTTTTTGACATGGAACAACCTCTTCTAATGAATTTTTGTGGTCCATCCTAATTTGATTGTTTAAAGTGTCATCTTTATATAAATATTTTGCCTTTTCTCGTTTCTTTTTTTTTTCTTTTTTTTTTTCTTTTTTTTATCGTTTTTTTTCTTTTTTTTTAAAAAAAATCCACCAATTCCCCATCTCCCTACTTTCTCTCACTGAAAACTCACGGTCTGTCTCACACTTCAGGGATTCATACTCCTATCAGTGCAAGCCCACCTCCCCCAATTCAAGCCCCCATCATGCAACATGATAACCCAGCCTCAGTCTTGCCAAGAAGCCCAGGGCTTTCAAGCCCTAATCTTCTTTGCTGGCCTTTACATGGTGGCCCTGGGAAGTGGCTGTGTAAAACCCAACATGATTGCTCATGGTGGTGACCAGTTTAGAGAGAGAAACACACAAGACTTGAAGAGAGAGAAACAGCTCTCAACTTATTTCAACTGGGCTTATTTGAGCTTTTGCTTGGGGGAGCTTGTGGCTCTCACTCTACTGGTTTGGGTTCAGAGCAAGGCCGGGATGGACGTCGGGTTTGGGGTTTCCGGCGTGGCCATGGCGTTGGGCCTGGTTTCTGTGGTCTCGGGTGCACCGTTTTATAGGAACAAGCCTCCACAAGGGAGCATCTTCACACCTATTGCTCAGGTATGAAACTCTCTCTCTCTCTCTCTCTCTTGCGTTGTGAGTATTCAAATTGCTCCATTTTAATGTTCACAAGACAATAAAAATAAATGTGCAGTACTTTGTTAATTTTACCCTTTGGGGGTGAAATGATCAAAGTAACCCTAATCATTCTCCTTCCCAACACAAAGTATGGGTATGGGTAGTTTGGGAATTTTTAAGAACTCTTTTTTGAGGAAGTGCATGACTGATATAGATATTTAAATGCATATCTTTATATATAGATTATAATTTTTTTGACCTCTTGAGTGATGTTGTAAGGGATTTCAACCCCCCTTTTTCAATATTTTGCCTTTTTGTTGTGGTTCTTTTCTTTTTCTTTTCCCACAAACAAGATCCCGGGGTTAAGAGGATGGATGGATCTTCGAGGGCATGGCACGTGGTGATTTGGGACGATCCGAGTCGTGGTTTTGGATTATTTCTAACAAATTTGCATATCATAATATATCAATTTATATATTTTTTTTGGATAATTCCGTGGGGCAAGATAAGAAGCCTTTGTCCGTTTTTTCAAGTAGATTAGGAGTTTGCTTTTTTAAATGTATTAGTGTATATGTCGATTTACTTTGTGTACATAAGCGACACATTCACCTATAGCTATTCTTGGATATAAATTTAAAGATTAAGGGTTCTCCATTCATTGCACTCAAATTCGACAAGTCTTTTCTCGAGACTTTTATACAAGGAAATGACCCACTTCTAGACGAGACTGCTGATTGCACATTTTGTGCATGTTAAAGATCTCATATCCACTTATTTATCCATTTGAAGGGAATGGGTTGTACCGAACTGGTTTCAGGAAGATAATGAGTATCATATCAGTCCCCATTAAAACTCCACATTTTCATATCATTTTTTTTTATTATTACTATTTTTTTATATCCACGGTTTTGAATGATCCAAGCCCATCTAGATTGGTGATCCAACGAGCTGACGCGGATCCGCGGATGATCTGAGTGTTTTACTTTTAAATATTTAAGGGTTTGAATCTGGGTGCCATTTTGATTTCTTTATGTGCTTTCACAATTTACGAATCTTTAAAATAATCTTGAGTCTTAACTACTTTAACATTAGTAATAAACACAAATGCAATGGCAAACACAAAGGTGAACAACCACGATCACTCAAAGAATTATGGGAATGATTAGGTGCTCCCGCAAGAGCAAAAGGTACGCTTACTCCTGGTAGCGAAAAACATGGAGGGCATTTTATGTAACTCATTCGGATCGTTCTTTGCTCTAAAAAACCGATCTGCCCAGGATTTAATCCGGTTAGGCTGTCAGATCTAGGTCTTCAAGAGCTCTAAATTATTTTTGAAATTGATGATCTAGTGATTGCAATGTGTTTCTCAAATCTTTAGAAACCAAATACCTCTGATCAAGCAAGTGTTTTGCCTGAGGGAGTACTTATAAAGTCTACTTTGCTGGTGCATTGTATTTGCTCACCAAAATTTGTTTTGTGGAGAATTAGGGTGGCAATGTGCCTGGTGTTTGACCGGGTCTAAAACCTAGGTGTGTGGGCCTAGGCAAAGTGTCATCATCATCATTGTCGGAGTTTTTTTTCAACTAATTGAAGTCCGCTACACGAATATTTGGCTATTATTCTACTCTATTAAAGATCATGCCCTCAATGAGGCCATAAGTTCTCAAAACAAAGTGCCACAACATAGCCTAATTTAGCCTTAATTTCTTCATAATAAAAACCACACGTTCAATGATGCCATAAGTCCCAAAAGCACAGCGTCATCACCTAGCCTAATCCTGCCCTAATTTCTTTGTGAATTAAAGAGTTTATCTGCATAACCCAGCCCAACCATTAATGGTGAGTGGTGGGGCACCTAGCCCAAGAGTAGGGTTGGACCTCTTAGGTCCCAAGCTGGTCTTGGGTCACGATAGGCTGTTGCAACCTTTAGCTTCGTTATAGCTTGTCTCGTCACTATCGCCAACCAGTAGGCAATCAGCCACTCTAGCACGCTTCATTACTGTAGTAATACCATAGCATAACACGAGATCGTAGGCTACAAGAAATATTTTTGTTTCAAGCTTTGTTTTTTGTGTAAAATTGTGAACCTCTCGGGAGGTTCAAATTGGCACTGCCTGTTTAGATCCAAACCCGTGCCATTTCTGATTTTGGTTGGTTTTGGTTCATCCAACCAGATATTTTGAAAAAGATAAAAAATAAATGATATAAAATTTCAAAAAATAAGGGATTATTTTCTAATATGTTTTTTAATATTTTTTTATCATTTTGGAAAAGATTGGAAAGTTTTTTTTTTGCCATTAATACTTATTTTTACATTTTTTTCATCTTATTTAAATATTTCAAAAATACCCTTGAGTACAAATCGATTTTTTTAAAATCCAATTTTTTTCACTATTTTCAACATCATTTGGATATGCTTTATTTAATCATGCGTTAAAAACACTTTTCGTTTTTTTATATATTTTTTTAATATTTCTTTTACTAGCCAGTCGTGACTTCGCCGATTAAACTAGTTGAACCGATCGGTTTACCAGTTACTCGATATTGGCTAGTTTTCGAGGCCGGTTCGATTTTTCAAATAATAATGGGATGTTATGTTAATGCATCCGGCACCGAACCACCGATTTCCCAAATGCCATTTCCTCAATATTTCTTTTTTCTATGTTGAACATTGAGGTAAATAATAAGATATGCAGGTTTTAGGGACATGTGCCTGAAGGAGCAATTGTACAATTTCCTTCAACTAGAGCACCGGATCTCGCTCTCTCACTTACTCTTTTTTTCTTTTTCTTTTTTTTACGCCAGAGAAAATCAAATATTTTGCCAACAAAAAGGATCTTTCTTTTATGTAGGTTTTTGTGGCTGCCATCACCAAGAGAAAGCAAATATGCCCCTCTAACCCTGAGCTTCTTCATGGGAACCGCAGTGACGACAGGCCAGGCCCCAACGGTGGTAACCTCCTTCATACTGACAAATTCAGGTATAAAAAATATTCATAACCATTTCCATTCTCTAAATTAAGCTTCTCCATGGAAAGAGCTGAGGGTCTGAAGGTTGAAGGTATTTTGGTTATTTTGATATTTTAAGATCATTTTTTAATATCCTTGAGTAAAATAATGTTAGTGGACTTTCTTTCCCTGTTTTAAGTAAGTTTTTTAAAATATGGGAGTTGTAAATTTGGGGTGGAGCTTTACTTTATTTTATAAAGCCTAGGCCTTATAGGAACTTCATCCAGTGTAAAATGGCAACTACGATATACATGTAGTCTATGGCATATTTACCTAGATATGAATGATCTCCACCGCCTATCATTTTAGATGGATGATGATTGCTTATGTGATGTTGTAGAGACTTTCTTTAAGTTCGTATTTTAAAGCAAGGTTAGTCAGGACTCACTAGGGTCCCAAGCCCGAGTCATACAAATCGTGTCAGACTCGACCTAATATGAACACTAAAACCTTAAGAATTGCTACGATGACAAGTTCCATAACAACCTATAAAATAAAAATGACTTATGGAGTTCGAGTAACTCGAACGATTTTGAATCGAACCTTTCTAACACTAAGTCAAACATCTCCCTTTTTTTTAAGTGAACATATATGCATGAGCCAGAAGGCAGCTGATGATAGTTACATGTAGTCACCTCTTAACTATTGAGAAAAGCTAACTTTTTGATGATGGGACATATAGGATGGGATGCGAAGAAAAAAAGGGCCATTTTGTTCATCTTTGCCCCCTCTTTTCCACAAAGCATATATACATAGTTGTCTGATGAACAACTTAGGAAAAGATGATCAATGAACTATGGAAAAAGGTGGAATCTTGGTTTATTTCTCCTTCCCTTTATGAGCACATTATTTCCAAATTATCCCCCTCTTTTTCATATATTCTGTCCTGTCCTTGTTCTTAACCATGCTTTTTTAGTATTAATCAAAATTTTGAACACCTATTTAGGATTTTAGCTTCTTAGCTTTGAGGCAAATTTCTGTGCAGTATTTAAAAACCCGGACCGGCAGGTTGGATCAGTCGCCAGCTGAACCGATCTAAATCGCTCATTTGGGCAGGATCGAACCAATTCTCAATTGTGAGAATTGATCCCAAAATTTTTCAATATAATTTTAAAATTGGACAAAACTTAAAATTTGAAAATAAGAAAGGGGGTAGGAAATGGACGATTTCAGCCGATCAAGATTGTCTGATTCCTTGATAAAATCGTCCAGTTCTCTAACATAATCGACAATTTTTAGAATGTTGAATCTGAAATTAAACACAATGGATCGAGAAGCACCCCTAGAGCCCTATGTTTAAGGTATACTATATAACTCAGGTTGGGTGGCTTGATTGGTTATGGTGTTGATGATTGATCCTATGCTGATGACTGCAATGATGTGTCTTAGGCTCAAATCCAATGCTAATCAACTCAGCCAATAAAAAAAAAGAAAAGAAATCTAAGTGTGGTTGCGGTGCCTTATGTGTATGTACGTGTATGATTTAACCTGATCAGCATCCTGCAAACCATGCAGGTTTCTGGATAAGGCTTGTATCAAGATCGAAGGCCATGGAAGCTCCGAGGAGAGCTCATGGGGACTTTGCACGGTGACCCAAGTCGAGCAAGTGAAGATCATACTCTCTGTCACTCCCATCTTCGCATGCACCATAATATTCAACACAATATTGGCACAGCTACAGACATTCTCTGTCCAACAGGCCAGTGCCATGAACCGACGTGTGTCCAACGACTTCGAGCTCCCTCCGGCCTCTCTCCAAGCCATTCCATACCTTCTGCTAGTCTTCTTTGTTCCCCTTTATGAGAAAACCCTAGTCCCCATGGTCCGCAGGATTACAGGAAAAGAGTCGGGGATCTCCCCCCTCCAAAGAATCGGATGCGGCCTCTTCACCGCCACTTTCTCAATGGTCATAGCAGCTTTAGTTGAGAACAAGAGGAGGAAAATAGCTCTAGAATCAAATCAAATACTCTCAGTTGGTTGGATAGCCCCTCAATTCCTTATATTTGGCCTCTCAGAGATGTTCACTGCAGTTGGGCTCATTGAGTTCTTCTATAGGCAATCTATAGCAGGGATGCAATCCTTTTTGACAGCCATGACCTACTGCTCATACTCATTTGGGTTCTTTTTGAGCTCATTGTTGGTTTCATTAGTGAACAAGTTGAGCAAGCATGGGTCACACATGGGCTGGTTCTCTAATAATGACTTGAACAAGGATAGGTTGGACCTATTCTATTGGTTGCTAGCAGCATTGAGCATAATTAACGTCTTCAACTATTTGTTTTGGTCTAGGTGGTATTCTTATAACCCATCAGTAGCACCATCTTCTCCACCAAAGGATTATTCAGAGGAAAACCTTGATTTCAGCGCTTCTAAGCATTTTGGACCTACCAATATGTAAACCTCCCACCCCTCTCTCTCTTACAGCACAATGTTGGTGTTAGGCCTATATGAATGTCCTTCACCTCAACTATATATATGTTTCCCCTTTGTGGGGCTCTTTTGTAACTAACAGTTAGTTGAAAAGCAATGAAAGTAAGCAGTATCTATAGTTTCTATACTTAAATCATGTTCTCCTTTAATTATTTGTTGTTCTATCCCCCACTGGGAAAGAATATTAAAGTGAGAAATCATTTAACTAAGTGAACTCGACCAAATGCCAAGAACTATTTTCTTTCCCTAGTTTGTCTTCCTTTGCTTTTGGGGCCTTGGTGTATTAACTTATTGGGGGAAAAAAAACTCATTTGCATACTTGGTGGAATTTGGCTTATCCTAACCGAACCTTTGGTGTGGGTTCGTTACGCATTTGTGTTGTTTGGAGAAGCTTATTTGTCTTATAATTTGGGGTCTTCATATATCTTTAGTTTTATTGTTTGCGCTTGGGACGCAGGTATCCGATAAAAAAACCCAGTTGTCATATAAGTATTGTTTTAAAGGGAAAAAAAAATCCCCTTATAGTTTGAATAATGAATTAGGTCTATGAGGTTTTAGACCTTACGAAAAGTGGATCTTATGTTTAGGACCTAACCTATATCCGCTCTTGTTCGAATTCAAGTTATCCCATGACAGAGGATTACAGCACAATTGAAAATACTCGAATGAAACCACACACGCACCGGATATCATGTAAACACATGCACACGAAATCTAAAGCGAGAAAATTCAATATATTAGAGAAAATAATATAATACAAAATACTCACAAACACTTATGCCTTTCTCTCTCTCTCTCTCTCTCCAACTCACGCCAAGCTCATGCTAATGCCCTCTCTATCACTCACATTACTCCCGTATTTATCAAGCCTTAAAAGAGATGAGTAGAAACAAAAGAAGATGAGAACTTTTATTACAATAACCCAACCCTAAAAGAACTCTAAACCTAATCCATTTAACTTCTAATCCCATTTCATTCCAATCTTAACCTAACGAAAAATCTTAAGCTTAGGTGGTCCCTCAACCTTATCACTATCTAACCAATAAGCCCAACATCATTAGAACTCCAATAGATAAGTCCTCATATTTAAAGGTGAAGGTTTCTACACTTTCCCTACTACTGTATATAATTTATGTACTTCCCCATGCCGTCCTCCAATTTATATCAAACTAGTTGAATTACGTGTGTTCTGTGTAGAACATAGTGATTGTTCATGTAAATAATCACATATATATTTAACTTATGGGTTTTTTTGTTATCGTGAAATGAGCCTGTGATTTAGTGATGGGTGATCAGGTATATATGCATCATATTTTCATTTTTTTCTTGGTCATTGTGTGTGTTTGTTTTTGGGTAAGTAAAGTGGTAAGTTAGTGGGGATTTGGGCCCCTACTCTTTGGTGATAACGGAGTCAAAGACTTCACCACGGGGCTCGACAATACTACCGTTAAGGCCCCAGGCCATTCTCAAAGTGGTATGTCAATGGGGATTTGGGATCCCTACCCTTTGGTGAGAATGGAGTCGGAGACCTCCCCATAGGGCTCGTCAATATCACCGCCAAGGCCCCAAATAATTCTCGAAAATGCATCATTGTGGTTAAAAAAAAATTTTAAATCAATGGGGATTTGGGCCTCTACACTTTGGTGAGAATGGAGTCAGAGAGTTCACCATGAAGCTTGGCAATACCACCGCCAAGGCCTTAGATCATTCTCAAAATTTATATATCAACTAAGTACTAATTCTCGATGAAGCTGAATGTAAAGTATTTTGACTGCTTTGTGTTCCAATTTTTTCAAGATACAGTATTAGATTCTAAGTAAATTTGCATTGGGTTCATTAAATTGTATGTTGATTTAATATGGAAGTTCTTAAGATCAGGAATACGCTAAATTCTAGTATATTGTAAGACCAGAAAATAACCAAACTCAGGTTGGCAAACCCTGTATAGTCATGTGCAAAACACACTTAAACGTATTTTGCTGACAGTAGAACGGTAGGGTTTGAGTCCTAACCATATTGCTGACAGTCGTTTCTCTTTAAAACAGTTTGAAGTCTGTTGTGGGAATGGAGATGGGAGTAGGAATAACATAAGCGATCATGTAAATATGCAATGGGACCTGGCACTGGACCCGGACCGGAACCCAACCTCAACCCGGACCTAGACCCTGACCTTGACCCGGACTTGACTGGATCTGATTGGACCCGACCTATATAT